TGAAAAGCTCCTCTCCTCTCCTGTCCTCTTCTCTTCTCTTCTCATCCTCATCATGTGAAATCTTGACGATTGGAATCAACTTCAACTCAAAAATCCCATCCTCCTCCCAAAATCAATGACTTTTCTTTTTCACTTGGTGAAAGAGGTAAATGTCAATTTTGAAGTGTTTTAATCCGTGAATGAAGTTGTTGACTTGAAATTTTCAATAATCATGATGAATCATCAACAAGATGAGAGTATTAGAGATGTATGTGGTTTTCTTCCATTTTGATTTTTCTTGCCGTGCTGCTTCTAACGTTCACTGGACACAGCTCAATGTCGCACTTCAAAGAGTTTTATTGGCTTTTCCCGGCAACAGTGGTCACCAATTGATTCAAGATACCGTGAGAAAAGGTATGTAAATCTTACATCTTGACATTCTTTTCTTTTTGGCCTCGATCTCAAAGTTTAAACTCACCAAATGAAAGCTATCAACGCATCTGCATCGGAATCACAATTTCCAACACCAGCATGCATTCAAACCGAAGAGGAATCAAAACATTTCGATCAATTACGTAACTTCATCGACAACCTTGTCTTGACCGTAACGCCTCAAGCTCTTCCAGCTTCCTCGTCGACATCATCATCCAGTCGGCCAACTTCCGAACACAACAAACGAAAATCTCTCGATGATCCCGAACATGACGCAAAGTTGTCACGGAGAAAGTTGTCAAAAGCAGAGCAGGAAGCGGCGGGAGCTCTGCAAGAATTATCAGCCGGTGTTTGAGTATGGATGTGAATGGGTGGATGGATGGATGGATGGGTGGTTTGGGTCTGGATTTCACGGATGGTAAAAATTGAAGCAAATTTGTAAGATTATCAAAAAGATGTAGCTAATGCAAGAAAGACAGCTTTCATGAATCAATACGTACGTAGCACAAAGACGTAGGAGTAGTCTCTTGAATTGAAAATGTACTATTGAAGTTGGCATCTGAGTCCTCCTTTGAGATTCCACTGCCAGTAACCAGGAATGCAGACCCGCGAACTTCAAACCATCAGACAAAAGACAATATCATCACCATACTCATATATTCCCATTAAGTTCTCTATACTCTGATATAATTGTCTGATCTTGACGTCTGCTATTATAGCTCTTGCTTCCATGGATCTGAAAGTATTTTCTGTTGCCATATGGTCACGTGCCTGATGCCTATGACAGATTTTCCATGTACACCTTCATTGGTATGTGATTGTTTCAGAATACGGTTTATACTTTGGTTGTGGATCATGATTTCTGGTGTGATGGCATATTTATCCCTCAATTTATTTTATTTTATTTTATTTTATTTTATTTTATTTTATTTCATGTATTGTTTGTTGCCCTTTCTGCTTCTAACAGACTCGACATTTTTACGAGTGCTCATTCAAATCATATAAGTTCTTCTCGGCATCAACTACCTATACAACTAACCATCACTGTCTCTCTCGTCTATCCCTTTCCTTGCCTACTACTTCAAAAGCTTTCCATCACATCACAATGAACTTTATTTGACTTGAAGCCTGGCTGAAGCGATTCACTATGATTGTCGATATTCTTGACGTCTAGGGTTCTTGAGGCACAACATTCACGTTAATCAATGGAAGATGCTCAATATTTATATATTGCCGAGTGGCATTTTTTTGTTATTTTCCAGTCCACTTAGGGACTTCTTATGGTAACTATACTAAATCATGATACCGATGCCAAAATTCAAACCCTAACTATTAAGAAAGAGGAAACCCTAAAATGAAGACGATGTAAATCAACCCTCCCAACTAAGCCGAACAGACCCTGTATTATTATCCAAATCTAGTCAATTGATATCGACTCTCTTGACCTCAGTCCAAGATTCTTCTTTCTCTAGCTTTGGTACAGTGACGACCAAAACACCATCTTCCAACTTGGCAGTAATGTTATCACCATCAATTTCGGATTTGTCTTCTTCGCTGAGGGGCAATTTCATAGTGCGCTCGAAAGCACCCACCTTTCTCTCCTTCTTTGTGAGACTCTCCAGGAATTTCTCATCTCCTTGTCTGTATACCACACCTGCCATGTTCAACATTCCTTTCTCAGCATCCCAGTGTACACCTACATCTTCTTTTTTGGCACCGGGGAGCGCAATGTGGAGGACATATGAATTTTCAGTGGTGAAAACGTCAATGGGGGGAACAAAAGAGTTCTCTGTGTCAGCATCTTCGGGAACGAGTGTTTCACCAGAGCGCTGAGCTGCAGGTACACCAAATGCCTGTGCGATTGGGTGAGAGGAGAGTGCTTGTATCATTGCACTGAAATCGAATGGGCCACCTGGGCCAGCGAATGGAGGTGGACCGCGTCTTCCGTGATGACCGTGAGGTCCACCCCAAGCATGAGGTCCTCCCCTACCATGTGGTCCTCCATGTGGCCCACCTCGACCTCCACCTCGGACACCCCATCCGCCTCGGCTACCTGGCCCGTGGCTTCCGTGGTGTTTAGGTCCTCGACATGATTCCGGTCCTTTTGATCCCTCTCTCACTTCAAGATCCGATGACTCTTCACCTGAAGTCTCACCATCTCTGCGACAATGACCCTTCTTGCCTTTGCCTTTGCAACCTCGAGGACCCCGATGTGGCTTGGGAGATTCCTCTCCTGCTTCAGTGTCAGAAGTTGGGGTTTCCTCACCAGATTCTTCTCCACCTCTGCGGCCATGTTTGCCTCTGCCATGATGACGATGTCCTCGGAATTCCTCTTTACCTTCTCCCTCAGTATGTTCTCCATCTCTGCCTGGAGAGAAGGAACGATGACCTCTGTGACCGTGTCTTCCTCTTGGTCCAAACCCACCTCTACCAAATGGTCCTGGTCCGCCAAAAGGGAAACCAAATGGACCAAATGGACCAAATTCGTGTGGACCATGATCGCCTCTGGGACCATGTCGTCCAGGATATTCATGAGGTCCACGGGGTCCTTCTGGTGGACCCCACATATTGAACTCTTGCGAAGGGTGGTCGACGCCAGCTCCAGAGTTTTGTGGTTGCATTGAGCGTACAAAATCCCAGAAGGGACCTGCTTGTTGATTGTTGCTTTGATTGTTGAATTCCATGATGAATTGACAATGATGCTGATGATGATATAGAATAAAGAAAAAAATACAAAAATCGAGGGGTGAGATTAAGGAATATATACCTCTTCCCAAGGCCCTCAGACTTCGAGGCAAGCCAGTGAGTGCGTAAGCTCAACACCGAAGCTAGCAAGGAGGCAAAAATGGCAACGAAACACAAACCTACCTATTTTCAGTCAACAAGCTGTTGACGTATCCCGCACAGAAATGGCAAAACCCTGGAAATGCATCAGACGGAAGAGCTGTGGTTGGTGATTAAGCTGAAAGTAGCCGCGCGTCGGTCGAGCAGATTGGATGGATGGATCCATGGATACCTCCAGCTAGCATTGATGTGGCGTAAGCTCTTCATTTTCCCCTCAACAAGTGTGGCTCATCTATTGGAATGGTTTTAGAGTGACCTCGGGAGTCAAGCTAATGAAGATGACTCAAAGCCAAGAAGTATTCGGATTCTCGGGTTTCTTCCAACTCCCATCGGCTTTTGATTGGCTGATAGTCCTCCATGTCGGAACCGATATCCCCTCTCGGTCCCGAAGAGTGGCGAAGTCTAGAAAAGTCGCCACTCCCCTTGTTACCTAATCAATTTACGATTCTCCATCCACACAACTCTTACGATCTCAAACAATGACTTCCTCACTCTCTTCATCGACGCTCATAAATTCCCCAATCTCAATTTTCAATCCCAGACAAAGCGCTCAATTCCGACACCGAGTGGACGAATTAATAACCAAATCATGCAGCAGAACCACATTAAGCTTCTCAAGGCGTTGGTTTTACCCATAAACAGAATATTCTAGTGATCAATCACTATGCCAATCCCCAAAAGACGATACTTCTTTCCCATATTCAAGGTGCCGTATTTGGACATATCCCATGTTGCGAGACGTGCAACAAAAAGAATGCGAAATTTGGAGTATCAAATTGAGGTAGAGCCTGTTATCGGCGGGTGGCTGAGTGGAAACGTATGATCTTAGGTAAGGCGGGTGGAAAAAGTCGTGGAACGTGGGAATCGATTAGCTAGGAGGCTAGGTAGGTCACTGTCGCTTTTTATATCTTCGTTTCGTTTTCGGTATATCTGTTGCTGCAATTTGGCAATTTATTGTGCTATTTGGATTGTTTTTATGGAATTCTTTGCGATTGATATGGGTTTCTTCATTTGTCAAGCATGCATGTGAATAAATGTCGTTCGGTAAGCGTTTTCGTTGGATGTATATAACAATTTTGTTTGTTACAATGAACGTTGCTATCTTGCGATTTTATACAACTCCATTACAACTTTATTACTTCCTTTACTGCCACCTCTATTTCATCTACTTTGTTGAATTGAAGCGTGTTATTTGCAACTCGCAGCCTGTGTTTCCTCTGACTACCTAGGTATCCAACAGTATTTGAGCAATTATCCTTTCAAGAGAAGATCAATCCCACCTTCCGGATCTGGATTCATAGGCATTCTCTCTGGCAGCCTCCATTGGATCAGATTTCCATTTTTCAGTTTTCTCATCGTCTTGTTCTCTGGGGCTATTCCTATTGGATGCTGCGTTGTTTGATTGAGTAAAGATCAAGAGATCATTGTGTCAGTGAGAATTAGAAAAGACGAGAACTCAAAGACTCAAAGTTGACGAAATCTGGGCCTTTAAGTATTCAAGGAGGTCTGAGTTTGAGACAATCATTCCCTTTCATGGTTGATTCATGACAGACAGCATTTGACTACACTCAGGCACAATATTACAGCAATACGATCCTGATCGTATTTTTTGATATGTATTATTCGTTCCCATGTGGACCTCACAGTCACATACAACCGCATTCTCGCGAGATATCGATATTCAATTACGCTTTTGACGGATAAGTGACTCGCTGAGAACAGTTTCTCCAAGTCTCTTTCCTATATTATATTCGACACAATGCCCCATTTTCATTAAGCTTCCAATTTACATCGCTACCAACTGCTGCATTTGCCCAGAATAAAAACTCCGGGTCATACTTCTTCTTCACCTCTAATAATGACTTATAATTTGACCCATAATAATCATTTTTCCAATACGGATTGTCCCATGTCGCTTCATTCATGTATGAGCCTCCTCCAGGCGTGATAGCGCGCAAAGTTTCTTGCCAACTATTCAATTGTGTCTGGGTATCACGGATAGCATCAAGTTTAGCGTTCTCGGCTAACGGTTTCAGAAATGCCACGGCGAACAAGGCATCCCGCCAAGTTGGAAGTACGGCATTGGGGGTATAGTTTCCATGAGTAATATTTGCCGCAGTTAGGAAGATAGTTCCTCCTTCATCCGTGATATCGTGAAAAGCGGAAATGATTGCAGGCAGAGTGGTGTTGTCTTGCACCGTTGAGCGTGGAATGTTTCGTCCGCCTATCGAGGTATTGCTAGTCTCCGCTTGTGAGACCCAATGATTGTAGGATTCGGCAAAGTTAACATGGACTTCAGCGGTATAGCTTTTGTCTAACGAGACATTGAGATCCTCCAGCTTCTTGAAAAATGGATTTAAAGCAGTGTCAATTATGGCTGTTGTAGTGACATCTGGCAATAAAGCGAAGTTTAACGAGAAGCTCTCGGCTGTAATTGTCGAGACGGTAGTAAGATCCTTAATAGTATACAGCACAAGCAAAGTTTGTAACCAAGCACCAATAGCAGTCCAATACGCAGTAGTATTACCATATTTGAAAGAGAACGCCGCACCAGCCACAGGACCATCATTATAGACCCGAAGCTTCGCCGAAAGCACTACAGCGAAATTCCCACCTCCACCTCCACTCAGTGCCCAGTACAAATCAGCATGATGCGTGGGCGAAACAATTAGATGTCGTCCCGCGGCAGTCACAATTTCCCATTCGAGTACCTGATCAGCAGCAACTCCATAGGCACCCACAAGTGGTCCATGGCCACCGCCTTGCGTAAAACCTCCTGCTAACCCGACTCCAGAACATGAACCGCCCACGGCTCGATACCCGTGTTTTTGCGCTAGGGGGTATAAATTGGTATATTGAACTCCAGCACCTATGTGTACAGCGGGTCCTGTATATAAAGCGCTGCTGTAATTGAGGAAAGTTATATCGTTTAGATTGTGCATCCATAAAGCTAATGAACCGGCACCAGTGGAGCGTCCGAGAAAATCATGGCCTGTGTTTTTGATGGTTAGTCTGATGTTATTTTCCCGTGCGAATTTGAGACCAGCAATAACATCTGAAGCAGAACTGATGTTTAGAGCATAGGAAGCAAGGTTTCCTAATGCACAGATGCTGCTCGTGTTTGATTCTAGGAATGGAGAACAGGAGTTATTGAGCCAGTAATGCGACATAATATTCACGGGGTGGGTTTCACTAGTCCTATCAGCTTTATTTATCTCATTGAGTTTCTTTTGAGTGTGAGGGTGGAACACACAATGGTGATTGTAAAAGCCATGATTCTTGTATTTGAGAACATTTTTCAATGTCGAAATGAGGTGCGTAACATGGCTGGGCCAGAGGAACACCACGGATAAGGTTCCCCGATACGGTTTGATTCAAGTGATCCCATACTGTTTGGTTGGGCCATGCGGGATCGCTTGGGAGATAGCGACATGGTGGGTTGGTTTGGGGATGGGGAGATGGGTAGACGAGGAAGGAGAATAATGTGATGATGATGCTTATTGCGCCTAACATTTTGGAGACGATATGCTATATGATGCTTCTTTTTTACGATGAAAAGAAACAGCTTGTGCTTATGTTTTGGGTTTTTGGGTTTTCGATTTTCGATTTTCTTATATTTATCTTGTTGAGATTACTTCAGCCTATATGCATGCGTCATCTCGTTGCATAGAGGGTGTCGATAAGGAGGCTGCTTTTACAAATGGATGTATCCATGCGGTGATACAAATGACGCAGTAAGATTCACGCAGTGAGATTCCATGCATGAACAGAAAGGAATGAGAAAAGAGAAGTACATTCTTGGATTCTTGAGTTGTCATCTTGCTCCTGACTTTAATACAGCGATTGATTCCAAAATCCACGCAAAGTCAATAGTCAAAAAGTACAGGTACCTATGCAATCTCGAAAATCAAGCTTGAGAATGTCAGCGGCGGGGTAGCTCGAGAAAACTAGATGGTTCGACGTAGTTGCAGGATATGCAGAGGTCTTTCCTTTCTGGAGTAGATCAATATGGCAAGATTGTTCGAGAGCTGGAAAGACTGGTGTATTGGTATTTTCATGAGGCATTTGCTAGATATGTGTTATTTTTTCCTTTTCGAGGAATTGTTTGAATATTTAGGGATGATGATGAGTTGATTTGGGGAAAGAGTAATGGTAGGTTGTCTAGAGACTTCCTGCATCTTGAATGCTTGAGTGTTGTGATTATTAACACATCGACACTGCTCGTCAAGAATAAAATACCTACCTTTAGCTAATCTCCATCCCGAGATATACGACGTATATCCATCGTCATGAGTCCAGCTCCCCAGATATGATCTGAAGCAAAATTCGGTTGCGCGTTGCTATTAACAAGACACCATTCCACGGGACATATCGATAACCAAGCATATTGCAAAAAATCTCAACCTGAAGATCTAGAGCGATCTCTATGTAGTCATCTACCATGAATGGAATCGTCAGTGCGAAACTATCCATATCTCTTTCGATCGTCAATTCTCTGGTCGATCGCACACAAATCGTTCTTTGCCATCTTTCTCGCTCGATTTGCAACTTCTCGCAGCGCTCTTTTGATTTAGATACCCTGCGGATCTTTTCCGATTCCGGAGGCTCAGTGGAATCTTGAGTATGGGTATGAGTATCAGGTTCTGCTCGATATATTTGTAGAAAATGGAAATTTATACGATCACATATCTCACAGCGTTGTAAATTCAGCGCTTCGTGAAATTTTTCTCTCTTCTCCTCCTTCTTCTTTGTCTTCTTCTATCACCTGATAGAACTTTTCCATGTTAACACATAAAAAAGTTACCTGTATAACTATGTTGGGTAGCCCGAAATTAGTTCTTCTACTCCGCTTTGAAAATCAATATTCCGAGACTCTCAATCTCTCTCCTACGATATCATAAAGAGTCAAGAAACGCACATGTGCTAAATCTTCTCTGTACCTAAAACACAAGCCCAATCCAGCAAATCCGCAGACTTTATCTCAAACATAGAATATCAATCTTTGGAGTAAACTATGCTTGACCCTCGTCATTTCAATAGCCAGATTCAAACGATCTCCAATTACACAGACTGCGATACAGAAGACGAATCGCAGTATACGTATCTCGATTTGTAGCGATGATCGAGGAATGTGATAACAATCTGTAGCGCACCCACGGGGTAAAATGGGAAGACTGTTGTGAGTTGGTCGGTTGGTGGCGGTGAGCTGTTCGCGTTGATCGTATGGGTTGCGAGGAGTAGAAGGATGGGAACGGTTGCGGATGAGGGATTGGTAGGAGAGGAAGGGGGAATCATGATGCGGGGTGGGAGGGCTAGGTGTCAGGTTTTGAGAGGCAGTTTGAGGGGGGGAGGGAGAATTGGGGAAGGGTTTTTGGGGGAGTCATTATGGGATAGTATGGAGTGGGAGAGGGGAGATATGAAGAGGGAATGTAGGGTGTGGGAGGTGAGATTTGGATGATGGGTTTTATGCATATGTTTCATAATTGTATACAAATATAGGGATGTATGACAAGTCATTTTTCTATATGCTTTCGATTAGGCGAATTTTGGTTTTACTTATTATTGTATCGACCATGAATGTCGGAAATTTATCTCATCACTTCAGGCTATTTTTCACATGGCCAAAAGAGGTCGACTATCGTCCAATGATTATCTTCATCCATTTGTTTCATTTCTCTACATTGGCTAGATAAGAGCAATAAAGACTAGGTAGTGAGTTATCGTCTTGATTTTTCAGATCAAAGTGTGCTAAATACACAGGTACCTAACTCTTTCTAATCGGTTCCAATGATTCATGACATCATTCATTGCTATTTAGTGGTCTCTAAGGTTAGTGTCCGGTAGACCAAATTACCGAAAATCATTATGGAAATTTCACAATCTTGTGATTCTCAAGAATAACTTCCAATACCTCATTCAAACAATGCGCAAACTAAATATGAATTAACAGCCGATAATCTATGATAGACAAGTATGTAGGTAGTTTAATCATAATTTCAAAGTCACATTTCCCATTTGCAAACCACAACAGTACCAACCGAAATTACCCCCAATTAAAGCCACCCCCTCCCCACCCCTCTCACCCCACCCACTCCATCACCACCCCAAGCATCTTCAACCACCTCTCCGGATCCCCCTTCCCCCCATCCTCCGGCAACGTCTCCGGATCCCCATTCTGCACCACCGCCTCCGCCAACGTACAGAAACCCGTCTCCACAAACCCCACACTCCTGTAGAGTGTCTTCACCGTCAGATTTTCCGGATGCAGAAATACACGAATGCGTACTTTTTCTTTTCCTTCCACCTGTGCTTGATTCCTCGCGCTCTCAATCGCACCTTGAATTAACATTTTCGCGAGTCCTTTTCTTCGATGCAGAGATGAGGAGTATAGCGCGATCATCTGGTATTTTAATTCCTGGGCATCAGGTCCCGGAGGCGGAGCACCGCCTAGAGGGAGTGTGAAAAATGACGTCGGGGAAGGTCCATAGAGTTGGACTGAGCCGACGAGGAGACCGGTGTCGATGGTATGGGTTTCTGGGGGAGAAGAGGAGGCATGGGCGACGGCGAGAAAATAGTGGCATTTCGGACGGGAGAAACGGGAAAGCCAGACGGAGGCGGAATAGAGCGATTCGAGTTCGAAAGTGGAGGCGAAGGAGTTGGGCGATTCGACGAGGGCGGAGAGACGGAGCGCGGAAAATTTGCCGGCGAGGTAGGGGAGGAGGGTGGGGGGTGTGCTGGCTGTTTCTGTGGGTGAGCAGGGAACTCGGTGGATGGAGTATTGGAAGGTCATTTTGGGGTGGTAGAGGAGTGGAAAGGGATATGAGGAGAGGATTTATAGTTATAGAAAAGCGATTTAGTTATTAGCTTTCATTATCTACCTACCCAACGAATTTGAAGTCTGTAAACCAACATCCCACTGTTGGATGACCGTATAGCCCACCACTAGTCATCCTAATAATATCCTCATGCAGGTACCATAAGCACTAATCAGATTTAACCGATATACTAGGGCCGTCGTAAGGGATGCGTGTTGAGGATATAATATTCTGATGAGAGGCAGAGACGTCGGTAATATACCAATTGGATTTTGAATACGCATGTCCACGGATTCTAGTAAAAGTCTAAGAATGTATTCAAATATTAACTTTCGGATTGTCTCATGGGAATATTGTAAACTTATACTAATATAACCCACTCATTAATAAAACACGTTAATTAATAAAGAACAGTGATAATTATATACAAGTGAGTGTCTATAAACCCCGTCGTCTATGCTTATAATTCGTCTGGAGTCGAATAGAGTAATACTTGAGTCTAATGATTTCAATCAAATTTCATTTTAAATTGAGTATAACTTTTTTTGCTAAAAACTCATTTCTATATATTTTTCTTATAAAAACTGATCCCTATATCTTTTAAATGATACTTTATACTAAACAATAGTAGTAGTATCTCTTATAAGACTATTAGTATATTGAAATTTCTTCTTGCGATAGAAGTCATCTCGAGTTTCTATTCCCTATTTTTCTCATTGGAAATTCTTTTCTTATTCTCCACTTTCAACTCATCTTCTTTCTATCTCTCTAATCATTTGGTCATTCATTTTAATGCGTGATTAATAAACATGATCAAGATGCCGTCCATGCTGACTTTAGGTAGTCAATACATAAGGAATGTAATCCCCCCCCTAAATATACGTTCCCACAACTCCCTAAACAAACCCAAATTCAAGATCATTCATCCCCTCCACCCCAAGATTTATGTCCGGAAGATGCTGACCCTTCGTCGGTAACTGATTAGCTTCTGCCCTGATATGATTGTCGAACAGGTTCTATTCTCTCATCAGTAATTGATCACTTCACAAGCCCACATAAAACCATGATTTTAACATATGCATGCGCTCGAGATTCAAAAGTCCAGGCTACAGTCCGACAATCAAAACTCTGGATATCTAAATTCAATTGAATCATTCAATTGGTTTGGAATATCGCATCCCATTTGAATCTTGTATTGATCTCAAATGTTGAGAGCTTCCAATTGCCGGACTACAGTTTGGACTATTGGAAAGCCTGATCCGAAAAGAAAATACATACCCAGTCAAAGTCAGTAGGGATATCCATCAAATAATCAAACGGTACGGACTCGTTGAGAAGATTTGTTTGAGAAAGAATGGATTGAGTGTTATCTGTATTCATGTAGGAGGAATTTAGAGCGGGAGCGGGGGAAGTCATGGGCCATATAACCGCTCCTGGTGGGATTGTAGTGGCTTGGTTCATTGTGAATTCATCTATGGGCAGCGATCATTGTTAGTTATGAGGAGAATATCAGGGTCTCCCTTGAATTGAGGATATCATACCTTCCAAAGACAAACTAGCCATCGAGCCAGTATCATTTGTACCTAAATCTATACCCCAAGACATTTGTGACTTCCCAAGTGCCACATGAGCTGCATCAAGTTTTCTCATCATTACAGCCAGTACATCCGCTGCCCGTTTAACCTCCGGATATTTCAGTTGCGTGATCTGCCATACATCCGATGACATCTTTAGCGCAGAAATCATTTCCACTTTTTGTTTCTGACACGAGGTGTTCTGATGTTTGCCTTTGATTTCTTCTTCCAATATCTTCATCGTCCTCACGTACACGATCATTGCCGCGAGTAGGAAATCATGCATCGTTAATGAAGACGGGAAACATCTATCTCGGGCCAAGACCTGTCCTGGCTGTGTAGCTTCGTATGTCTGTTTTTGGAAATCGAGAAGTTGCATCGCGGCATCGATACCGACCTTAACAGAATATTCTCGCTCAGGATGATCTTGATTGCCTACAAGATACTTACGGTGTAGAACACATCGACTTTTGCATAGAAGATGAGCGACATTCAATCTCTGGATAATCAACTTTGCTGGGTCAGCGATACAACTTTCTATCGGTACAAATCGGAACGATGGCGGTACAGTTGCTTGTTCCACGTCCAACTGAGCATCTAATTCCATGATCTCATCGTAAGAAGGCGGGGATAATGAGTTCGCATGTGCTGCAATTTTCCCAAAAACCTGACATATCTTGTTCTTGAACCGAACATATGACGCCGATGTTACTTCTGAGTCAGGTCGAGAAGGTGGTAGCTCTGTACAATCTTCATCGAAATCCGAGTCATTTAAATTCCGGGGCAATTGAACATCGCTCTCAACGGATTCAACCATACTAGGTAACCCAATATGAAAGGATGCCAGTAAATCTATTTGTCTTAAAGTGGCCCAAAGTCGCCTACGCATTTCCCCTTGGAATGGAGTAATTTGTCCACCAACTCTATCGGCGTCTCGATGGAGTCCCATTCGTAAGGCTAATCGGACAGCAACACCAAGAAGTACATAGCAGTTCACCTGATCAGCATCGCCGAGAACAAATTCTCCTTCTAAGTGAGCAAGCATTGCTTCGATTGTATACTTTCCTGGTTTTGTGTAATCCGAAAGGCGGATGCATTGGATACAGTTGCGCCGATATGTTCGTATCGTTTGCATTTGAGAAGCACGCTCATCCGGATTTTCTTCACCTGCCGCATAACTGGAGAATAAAGATAGACACATAATGCCATATAATAAGCCCAGCCAGCAAATAGGAGTCTCATGTGGATTGGCCCAAAATTTCAAATACTAATCGATTTAATGAGTATGAGCAAATGCGGACATCAATTCTCAGCAGATAGAGAGTAATGTATACAGTATGAAATGATAATAACAGAAATAAAAGACTTTCCCAGCACGCTAGCTGTAGAATGGTCTCTTATAAATCTAGTATTTCGAGCGATGCAAAGGTGGAAGAAGAAATCACGTTACCTCTTTTTGAAAAGTCGGAGCATGCAAAATGTCTTGGGAAATATCTTAGCATTGTCTCACAACTCATGAGATTACTGAAGACCTACGTAGTGAAGGATTGGCTCCATGAAAATAACCCTGAACAGTCTTATCAACGACTCTACGGGAAGGTAGAGCTGCCAATAGTTTGGCTTTGGTTGGTGGTGCATCTGGGTTGAAAAGTAGACTGGGTTCAGGCCCAGTCTCTTCTTCAATATCATCGTCTTCTCCTTGATCAAAATATTCTTTAACTTCTCCTATCTGATGAATATCAGTATAAGTAACTTCACGCAATGGAAAATTCTCACGTCATCAAGAATTGCAGCCCAGTGAGTAGCGCCAACATATTGCGTTTCCTTCCCGCCAACTACAACCTGCCCTGAAGGCGATAATGTCTGTTGAATATTGGAGGGCTTATCCAAGCCAGAAAGAGAACTATCAGTCGTATTTAATCTCTGATCTTCCGTTGAGATCCCACGAGCCTCCGCTCTGGCAACAAGGTTTTCGGGCTCCGGGCCATCACGTGGAGGGGTATCTGGCCCAGCTAATTGTTGAGAATTCATAACGTCCTTTACCAAGCTTTCTAGATGCTTCAATCTTTTGTGCATTGTCATCGCGGCTTTCTTTCTTGGTAAGGGCGTGGGATATGAACATGATCCTACCCTATCCTTCTTTTGACATTGGCTGCATGGTTGAGCTCGATCGCATTTAAGTTTGGCATGTCGACATGGTGTACAACTCAATTGAACACGATTTCTCTTAGAGTGAGCAGGAGCAGATTCTTGTGAGGTAGATGTTGATGGTGTATCCATTCTGATTGATGTTCACATTGATTGGCGCTGATGGTAAAGGCAGCAACAACTGGCCGTCTCGCAACGAACCAGAGTACGGAAACTAGAGCAGTTATTGGTCTTTGAAAAAAAAAAATAGGGATAGTAAACAACATCAAGCACTTCGTTTAAAAATCGTCGAGTGTGCGATACACTGTTCTTGGTGTTCGTGAGAGTCGTAAGAGCAAGGAGCCTGTTGAGGTTGCCCTTCGCCTGTGTATTTCAGCCAATGAGCTTCAGTCCACAGGCCCCACTCATCATACACACAGGCCGTGTTTGATCACCTCTTATTAGCATTAACAATAATTCGATTATCACCCTCGATTCTGATGTGAAATATATACTTTTGTACGATATAGCCACAGATGATAAAAAGCTACCAATGGTCGAAGTCTCTTGGGATTTATTTGTTTCATTAGTGGTTGATTTATAGTGCAATTAATTGAGAGGTTTTAGTAGGAACTAGTTGGCCAAGAAGGAGAGCCGACTATTGATATTGACAATGAGGTTGGAAAAATAGCAATCTTTGTGATGTTGTCGGGCAAGATCATAATTTGGTAAAAACTTGCATTCTGTTTCTATGTTGACCCAGTGATTTGTATTGACTGTAGCGGATCTATTCTCTGGTATATTCATAAACATATCATTTCTCTATCTATTCAATCCATGTCAAAATATCACCAACGCCAATTTATCTAAGCTACCAGAGGAATGGGCAGTGGTTAACAACCGATCCTTCCTGTCCTTACGTTAAACTAGATCACATAACCATCTATATCAAGCCATCTCAATTCATATTCCAAAATCTTCATCATACCCCAGCCATCCCAAAGATGGTACTTCCATAAATCTTAATCTCCACCCACCGTATCCCAACTAAAATGACCTAATTGGAGTCGGCAGCATCATCATTGTCTACATCACTATCTTCTGCGTCTATCTCTTCATCTAGCTTTCCATCTAATGTCGCTACACTCTTGTTATCGTAACCCTTTTTCAACATCATCAAAGCATGCTCGTCACTTTCTGTCACACTGTTCTTTCTGTTGCTTTCTCTTCTCTGCTTTCTACTGACTAGACCTGGGAAAATTCTTGGTTCACTCCCTGAAAGATGTAGATCACTAAAGCCTGCTTCTAGTCCCCAAGACTTTTCACGCCCCTTGTTGGCTGAGATTGGCGAGTTGAACGACGAGTTCGGTTGCGTGTGTTGATTTGGGGTAGCATAACCAGATGGACTATCGGTACCTTTCTGATGAGGTTTGAAATGAGAATCTAGGTGTAGCTGAGAGTGCGAAGGGGGAATGCGAGCAGCCTGAGCAGGATTTTGCTGGTATGATTGAGAGGGGCCATGATCGGCTACGCTAACAGAAGCTTTCATGGATGATGTTGGGGAATGTGGTCGCGGTCCTGGAAAGAAGGAATTTCCATCTACTGGGGCTGATGTCTGAACGGCTGGAGTTGACAGAGCAGTGTAACGCTCAATCCTATTTTTTGTTATTAGTATTGCATTTATTTTGAACAGATGGCAAGGAAGCAATATCATGACTCACATAGATAGTTCCTGCATCAATGTCTCGTGTCGGAAGCCTTCCCTAATATTTGGGACGTTGCTCTTTGCCATAGTATTACCCTTTACTCCGGGTAGATCATAGTCTGGACCTAACCATCTCTGCTTCACAGAATGTTCAAAGCCGCTTTGTACGACTGAATTCTTGGCCAGTTCACACATATCCACTGCGCTAAGCTTGTAAATTTGTGCAGCGACCGAGTATTCCTCGATAAGTGGCTCCTTTGTAAAAGCGAATTGCAGAGGATCATCGGTAGAGAGAGAGACATTAAGACCTCTCTTAAAATAGGAAAGGAAAGGGTTTCTTTCGTATGCTAGGAACAGTGCGTTGTTACTCAAAGGCGACATTGCTACTCCAATCTGCTCGAGATAGAAGATGTATTGTAGCAAAGGTACTTTTCGAAGCAATAAACCATGACTAATGCTGTGACAGCAAAGAACTGCAGCAGCTAAATGATCAGTATCACCAGCTTCTCCACAATGAGGTCGTAGCAAGAATGTGTTGAAACCACGCTGCTTGCGCCACACATTCAAAGAAGAGATGTTGGCGAAGAGGTAATAGATCCAATAACTGTAAGGAGGATTTTGCTTAGAATCCCATACTTTTGGTACTGGGAACTTTTTGAATAATCTTCGCTCAGCTTTACTCTCATCATCTACACTATCAAATCCGATGACTCGCTGAAGGAAGATGTGAAGCTTTGGGTGGCTAGATGGATCTTTGGTTACTTCAAAGAGAGGCTGAAACAAGTTGATGATAACTTGTTCGAAGTTCTCCATCAATCCACTAGATTTGTAGACGTCGAACAATCGTGGGACCTGGATCAACCACCGAACGTTGTGTGAGAATAGTTTGTTGTCAACAACCCATGCTGCTAGCTTATCCCATTCGTCGATAGTTCTTCCATAGATTGAAATTCGCCATTCAACCATTTGATACTTGCTTGATTCGAGATCTGATATGACTTCTTTAGTGATTTCCGCCAGATATCTTCCGTTTATGAAATTATCTGTCTTTAAGAAAATCGTTCTTAAGCGAGATTCCCCAACAGGATTATACTTCAGATTGAATTTGTCGAATCGATGGAAAGAATCGGTGTGAGCCTGAAAAGTAGTTAGAAAAGTGTAACGAAACCCAAGAAAACGTCAACCTACGTGCATATCAAGAGTATCGATACTCAAATCATAAGAAGTCAAGTTGATACTTTGAAAAACCTCAGCTAACGTGAGATGTTTACCATCTCTGAACATGACGATTTCATCAGGATTCTTCTTCATCTTACTCTTAATGAATCTAAGCAGATGCTTCTGGTTCATACAGGCAGAGTGATGAACGTGAGTATCAACCTTCCTAACATTGTAGAAATCTCTGTGCGGTACACGTTTACTGTCCGCCATTTCTTGATATTCATTGAGAAGAACATAAAGATTGAATTTGCCCTCCAAATACTGCAAACGACGATAGGCAAAACTTTTACTTGGGCCATCAGATGAGACATTGAGAATTTGTTCCAAGTCCATGTAGAATTCTCTGATATCAGGTATGTTGATTACGGGTTGTTCAAGCTCTTGAAGTTTTGAGTTTTCGTAAACCTGAAACACTCCGCTTCCATCAAGTCTGAAGGTCATTTCTCCAGGTGGAGGAAGTGGAAGAAGATCTTCCATTTCGAAATCAGAGCCAATGTCTTGCCCAGGTTTTCTCTTGCGGAGGGGAGTTTTGGGAGCACTGCGTGCACTAGTAGCCTGGGCTTGTGACAATTCTGATGCTGCACCACTGATCGTTTGCTGATGGCCATGAGCTTCAGCTTGAGGTGGCAATACCATGCTGTTCGCCATACTGTTTGCGGTACTGTTTCTTGCATTTGTTGCGGCTTTATCGTCGTGCCATGATGGCTCGGGTGGTGGTGGGTAGATACTCCAGTTCGGGTCATCCTTAGGATTATCACCATCTTCTTGTAACGACAGGCGAATGTATTTGTGTCTAATGTCTATCACTTTTTGAATATTAGTGTAGATGGATGCGAGTTCCGCAGTAATGTGGGCGTCAGAATTGGCAAAGCCACCTGCACCAGAGCCAAGGCCGACCCCGGCGCCTGCACCATGCAATCCTTCCATTTCTAGCAAAGGTTTAGGTTCATGAGGAAGTCCTGGATGAGCTGCATGATCTCTAGCTTCCTTGTCTGCTCTAAGAAGGGATTCTCGTCTATCGTGCAATCCAGGAGTATGAACAAAAGTTCCCGCAGCAAGACTCGGTTCTTGGATTACAGCACTTTCTGGATGCTTTCCAAGATCTGCCAGACCGATAGGAGGAGCAGTTCTGAGTTTATTGAGATTTGGGAGGTTTTGTGTGCTCGTTCCTGAAGCTTGACTTCCAGATCTATTCAATCCTCCTTGTTCAGAGTCTAAAATGTTAGAGAAGGATCTAGGTTTTAACACAGGGCTAGGAACTGCAGACTTCTGAGAATGACCCCAATTGCTGCCGCTACCAGTTTTGTTGCCTTCCAACTGGCTGCGTTGAAAGAATAATTTCGCATCTGTCTGGCTCATCTCTTTCTCTGCAAGATAGTCGAAGTATGCCGTTTTCTTTTGCTTGTCTCGAGCTAACATTCCACTTTGAGACATGGGAGTTTCGAGGCCGGGCGTATCATCAGATAGGAGAGCTGCCTCTGGAAGCATGTCTTCTGGTTCCTCCACTAGATCTTCACTGGCCCCGATATACCCCTCCTCCGCGATATCATTATCTATGTCGGACATGTTGGAAAATGCTAACTTAGAGGGAACTCTTGGGGAAGAAGGTAATTTTGAAGGGTTCTGTTCTGACGATGAATCTGGATAAAATATGTTAGCCCCTCATATTTTGTGTACCCTGCAACGCGGGGTTGAGGTGAAGCTATGTGACACCAAGTGTTAGGTCCTTACCAGGCATGTTTGCTATTTATCCTCTATAGCACAGAGAAGCTTGTTATGTCTTATAGTGTAGCCAGTATCCCGAATAATCTGACCAAAGATGGTTTGTTCCAACGAGAAGAAATGGTAAATGGAAAGAAAGAAGCAAATCTTCAAGGTTGATGGTAAAAAGTTGGTTGTTTAACCTTGAATCTTTATGTTCCTGGGGCTAAAAAAGCACTCTGGGCGGCTGTCTCAAAAGGCCTGTTGCTGTTGATAAGTCTACTCTGGAGTGGACTAATGATTGATATGAATTTGTAACTTTCGACAAATCAAAGACCAGACAAATCAAAGACCATCAACGACAAATCAAAGATCAGCAAAGCTTTCTTGGCCTCTCACTACTATCTACAATCTTAGCCTCTTTCTCTCCATCTCCATCGCGCGAAGTCAAACACGCTTTTCCCCCCCAAATATCGATTCTTTGCATGTACAGTGGTGACAACAAATACTATCTAGTAGCTACCAAGCCAAGTAGGTACTAACTTTGAAGGACCGTGCCATCCATCCCCCTGGTTACTTTCCTGTCGTTGATTGAATCTTTGTCAACTTTCACAACTTCAACACTTCTTCCCTTTAACCAACAATAACAAAAACTAGCTTTTTTTCACCACACCTCTCATAAAGATGTCTGCACAAACTGGTTCTGCGGCCACCATCGGCGACAAAGGCAAAGGCAAGAGTGCTGCTGAGCCCCAAGATGTAACCATGGGTGAGGGCGGCGATGATAGCTCTAGTGAGGAGGAAGTTGATGATGTAAGTTATACTTGAGAGTACTCAATTTGATCTCCTACTGACAATACTCTCTCAGGATGCTCCACCACCAGGTAAATTCACAAGGACTTAACACTACTACTTCTCGAACATTAATTGACAACATACATAGCTGAAGAGGTCGAGGAGGAACCTTCAGACAACGAAATCGATAAATCCAACATCATCCAAGGTCGTCGCACTCGTGGCAAGCAAATCGACTTTGCTGCAGCTGCCAAGGACCTTCCAGCCGACGATGATGAGGATGAGGACGATGACTTTCAATCTGAGGGCGAGGAAGATGATGAGATGGGAGGAAACTAAGGGAGAATGACGATTGTATTCTGGTAGATTGGAGGAATTCGATTCATTTGACAATTACTCATTTTCGCCGGATATCAACACCTTTTTACATTATCGCATTCACGCTCGCAGTTAACGATACCACATCTTTCCGTTTATTCACAAAATTTCACGATTCTAGGCATATGATTTGAACGATTGATATGGAACATCTGGGGAATTGGGGGGTGGGGGAAGATGTTTTTCGGCACAAGCATGTGTGTACTTCTAGATACCAAACAAAAGGGGCGTCCATTGCACATTGCACATTGCACATTGCACATCGCATCTAGTTCAAATCTCCAAACAAACGCAATTTCCCCAAGTGCAAAAAGTAAACAAAACAAGCAAAACAAAACAAACAAAGCAAACCCATTTACGTACAATCAGCCCTGCAAACCTTCCTCGTAATTTTTTCTGCACAGACTGGAAATCCCATCATGATAAACCAGATAAAGAAAACCCACAGGATTCCATATTAAAGAACCAGGATCATGCCCAATTTTCTCAAACTCCAAACCGTTACCGCATTCTCCCTCAAACGACCAAGATAACGATTTCATCACACCAGATTCTAGACCTCTTTTCTCTCTTCCGTTTGTACTGTGTTTCGAAACACCATTATTTGAGGCGTGACGGGACATCAAACACCATACCCGTTGACAAGCGAACACATATCCATCTTGCGAGGGCAGGACGAGTGATAAAGACGAAGACGACTAGATTTCCTTCTTATCTTGTTGCGAAGAGTGTTTTGTTGATTTCTTTTCGCATACAAACGGATTTTATACATAATATATTTGAGAATATCATGGCGAATAGGTGTGTATGATTTCTTTTTTTTCTTCTTGCTATATAGTCTGAGACTTTGCGCATTCATTCATTCATGTCATTTCATTTCCTCGATTCGGTAGGTAGATAGCTATCATTCGCAAAGATGGAAACGGGGATTCAGTATTCATGATGCAAAGTACATTTTCGGCGCATACCCAAAAATCAGAAGCATCTATAGTCATACTCCTCGATTTCTTATAAATACTCTCTAGAATTATAAATAATACGTATTAACATTCCCTGGGAACTCTCCGCAGATTCGGCGCATCGTCCCTCCATCAACGCGATCCGCGCAGTGCGCTTTTTGAAAATTATAACGCGGGCGCAAGTTCAAGGAATGCGAGTTCGAGTCCTGCCCCAAGAGGATATGGGTATAATGCGGGAGGAGCTGTAGGAGGATATTCTGGGGGAGGGGGTTATTCGGGAGGAGGAGGGTATGGGGAGAGAGAGGATAGCGCGCAGGGGTTTAGGAGCGCGACGCCGAATAGTAGGTATGTACTTGATGATTGGGTTTGGGATTTGGTGTTGTGTTGTGTTAGGTTGGGTTTGGGGGGTGAGGGCAAGGGAATGGGAAGAGAACAGCGAAGAGGGTAGATTGGAGGAATAGCAATGCATAGGATGGATGGGATGTGATGAACGCAAGTGCATACATACATACATCACCCCCTCGGAGAACCCCTACCTCCCTATCTTCCCCCCCACAAAACAAACGAAAACTAACCCGTCCCCCTACCCAGAGGCCAATACAGCGACGCCGTCCTCAACGAACTCGAAAGCCAAAACAACGACCAAGTCGAAGGCATCATGGGCAAAGTGCGCCAACTAAAATCCGTACATCCCCCTCCCTCTCTCTCATCCCCAGTTCATCCCCACTAACCCCTCCCCCCTCCAGATGACCATCGCCATCGGCGACGAGATCCGCGAATCCTCCGCTCTCGCGGAAAAAATGAATGATAATTTCGAAGGCGCGCGCGTGCGCATCCGAGGAACCATGAATCGCATGTTGATTATGAGTCAGAAGACGGGGGTTAGTTGGAAAGTGTGGATTTTGTTTTTCGCGGCGGTTTTTGGATTGTTTTTTTGGGTGTGGGTTTTTTAGCGGGGGAGTGAGGGGGGAGGAGGGGGATTGAAAAGGAAAGGGGGAGAAAAAAGGAGAGGAGAGAATTGTATAAATACAAACTACAACATAATACTTTTACCGCAGTGCAGAACGGGAAGAGAGAGAGAAAGGAGAGAGAGAAAGGAGAGAGAGAGAGAGAGAGAGAGAGAGAGAGAGAGAGAGAGTAAAACGAGCAGATTCGGGAAGGCAGAAAGCAAGAAAGCAAGAAAGAAAGGGGTAAGAAAATACCGATACACGATACACATACAGCAGTATAATAATGGATGAAATGCATGGAATTTGTTATGGAATAACACGACACGACGACGACGGCGTTGTGGAGAGAAAATCGGGTTGTTTGTATCATATCATATTCATGAAATAAATAGCAGATCATGAAATAGCATATCATGAAATAGCATATTCTGAAATAAATAGCAGATCTCATAATCACTTGACTTGACATGATATGATATGATATGACAATACATAAATGAATGAATGATTTAGTTTGGTTCGTTCGTGATAGGTGATAGATAGTTTGTTGGGGTTATGTTTGTGTGTATATATATGTATATGTATATATACATTTCTAAAATTCCATCTTTGAGAAGAAAAGAAAGGAAGACGCGGGGGGGGGGGAGGCTGATCATATATCCATCCATCTATCTAGTATCTATCTATCTATTGTAGATTTATAGATTTATAGATTTATAGATTTATAGATTTATAGATTTATAGATTTATAGATTTATAGATTTATAGATTTATAGATTTATAGATTAGATTTATAGATTTATAGATTTATAGATTTATAGATTTATAGATTTATAGATTTATAGATTTATAGATTTATAGATTTATAGATTTATAGATTTATAGATTTATAGATTTATAGATTTATAGATTTATAGATTTATAGATTTATAGATTTATAGATTTATAGATTTATACATATATACATATATACATACATATCCATCCATCTACAAATCATGAAATAAACATGCATCTACAAAATCACATTAAGAACCCGAGAACCGAGAATTTCATAATGTCATTCATTCATTCATTCATTCATTCATTCATTCATTCATTCATTCATTCATTCATCAACTAACTAACTAACTAACTAACTAAGTATCATAGCATAACGGATGACCTATCACATCATACCACCAAACCACCTATGACGGAATACATGCCACCCATTCCCATCCCCATCCCCGTGCTTCATCCCAACCATTCCTAGACCTCTAAAAACCCCTAAAAAAATAAAAAATAAAAACCCCTGGTATATTGTCCTACTCCACCGAACCCCATCCAGCCCAATTGATGCTTTTAAAGCACAGTAGAAAAGTTCCTCCCCCCCATTAACACCATTGAAATTCCCAACGTATAATACAACTTCTCCCCGCATTCCCAACCTTCCCCTCCCCCTCCCCCCATGTTTCCCTCCCCTCATTCCCTCCCCACAAAAATAACCACATTAATCGCCGCCGCATACGCCTCCCTCACCGCACAACTCAAGCACGTCTTCCCCACCACCGCCACCACCGCATTCAATCCCCAATGACTACACCACGCTCTCGCCATACACTCATTATCCTCCACGCCCCAGGCCTCGATCACCAATACCGTATCCTTGTCCACCCCCTCCATAAGTTCCTTGAAGCTCCACTTTGCCCCCTTCCAATCATAACCTTCTTCCCAACTTCCCTCAACTCCAAGTTCCTCTGGTTCCGGCGCCCATCCTAACTGTAGATCTTCGTTTAAATTATCACCGCCGACACCTGCCCAATTATGTATATCGAGCAATTGATTCATGCGTGCAATTCTATACATATAATCGAAGAAAAGAGGATGAGGACCATTAGAACAAGGATATGAGGTGATGAATGAAACATCATGAGCTAATCTCAACCAGTGCGATTGGCCTCTCCTGGCGAAAACCACACAGGCATCATAAGTAGGCGGTCTCTTTCCAATTTCACTACTTCTCTTTGGGGACCCGCCATCGAGCTGCTGATTTGGTTTTGCGACTTCGAATGCTAATTTTTCAATGCGAATGTTGTCTATAGGTGGCGAGACCAAGTCTAGCTCGGGTAGCACAAATTCACTTACGGGATAGACTGGATCGCCAGGGTCAGGGGGACCAAGAGGATCAGATCGAACTCGCATGCTTAGGACGTCGGTCTTAGTAATAACTTGAGGGGTCATACGCTGACGGATCCGCAACACCTGAGTACGTTCGATCGCCGTCGAGGCAAGAGCTGGGCCAACCCAACCTGCAATTTCTTGACAAGTTGGAGCAAGCACTTTACCAACGATAGAAGTTGATGCCCAGTACGTACTACCTCTGTATTGAAAGCCGGAGTTTGGATACATGTGCGTAAGGCCTCCAAGATCAACACCTCCATCTTCGTCGCAGTCGATTAAAGTATTCATAAGAAGCCATGGTTGCGTGGGTCCTGGTAGGATTAGGCCGGTACAAAATGACATAGCGTCTGCAGAACGATCTTCAAGAGGTGAAGCATCCGGATCCAACTCTTTCAGAGCTTCATCTACCATAGCTAAATTAGGCCACTTCATAGCTCTTGCGAATTTGCGCAAAGCTTTAACTTGTGATCTCTTTTTCAAAAGTCTGAATTTAACTGTATTGAAATCAGCTTCCTGCCGTACAGAATCCAGAAATGTGTGAAAACCTACTCTGTTGAAATTCATCACCAGTTTTATACTTTTCAATAGTCATGCACTCTCTCCACTTCTTCGCAACAGCTAGGTCCCAAGAGATCCATGGTGGTAATTGCGCCAACAATCTCTCTTTTGCTTCCTCCGAATGATGTTTTGACTGGATTCTCAATTCCAACTCCATGCTCAATAGTAACTGATGAAAAAATGCTCGATATCTTCCATGATCAGAATATGCCCCATCAGCAAAGAATTTAGCCACAACATGATTCTTAGGTTGACTAAAATCAATCCATTCACGTCGTGACAACGCAATGATCAGATCCGCAATTTGTTTCTCCATCCCCTTTTTCGCAATGAAGGATTTGTCGAGATCCTTGAGTAATACTTTGTATAAACTCTTATATAGCATATCCTCAGTCTCATCATCAATCCCAGCTTCCAAGTATATCAAGCGATCCAGTATTATTTGCAAATCCACATCCCTCAGCGTTTGGACACCTGAATCACGAAGCTCAATCGGGGCATGCGGATTGCCATTTACGCTGCACCAGTGATTCAACGTAATAGTACCTCTCAACGTGCCATAGTAAAAGGCCATACTAGGCTGTTCAAGAGAGTCCCATGGTCGATTTGCTTCACCAGGTCCTTGTAACCGCATTGAATCCGCCATAAATGCCCTACTGAAAATCTCCGCACGATCACTTCCAGCCCCTCCATTCCCATTACAGGTCGCATATAGCGCAAAATATTCGTCGGAAGCATGTGCGATTGATTCCATCGTTCCTTTGAAAACTGGTACTCCATTAGCAATCAATTGCATCGCTTTTCCTTGTGACAATTCGGCGTCGTTTGATAACCCAACAGGTGGCCATTCCATCAATGAATTAACCTTAGGCGCTCTTACACCCTCCTCCGTATATTTTGATGATTTGCCTGTACTAGGTCTTGCGTGATGAGGCGAAAGAGAGGTAGAATTGCTTAGTTTATTCGAATGATGTCTCTTCGGAGAGGTAGAATGAGCGTCGTCATCTGCGCGGCGTCGATAATCTGTATGTGGTGAGCGAGAAGTCGAGGCACTCAAATTGACCGAATGATGTCTGCGAGGATTTTCATCATCTTCGCGATCTCTATTATCTCGATGTCGATGTTTTCGGGAAGAAATCGAACCATATCCATCACCCTCGTCCTCTCCATCCCTTGAGTGTTTCTCTCGATTCCTCCTACTTCTTCGATGTTTTCTGCGCTCTCTCCGCGGTCTCTGTTCAAACTCCTCTTCAATTTCCGGCTCCAAGTCTGCTTCCTCCTCACTCTTCTTCTTGCCCTTAAGCAAACCAACTATCTTATCCTTGACACCAACCATTGTCGACCTATCTCTCACTGCCTCTCACTCTTGTTCCCTCGTCGGATTATCAAACCTCCAATTTCCAATTCCAATTTCCAATCTCTCTGATTCCCTCTCATTTATTTGTATTCGAATTCTTTTTTTTCGTAATCAGTAATTGAATACTGTAAATCTCTCATTCACAAATTCACAAGCTCACTCCAATCCAGGTATCGTGTAACAAATTCCTTAAAGGTAACAAGGCTGAATTACAGATGAACGAGTAATAATAAAAAGTCAAGTATGATGAAATGTTTTGGGTCTTCATACAGACAACCATACAAACCGATGCGGCAGTTCCTCGAGGCCACACCTCATCATATTGATCTCTGGGGAAACCAATATGTTCGAGGTGGTTAACATTGTCCAGACAAACGTTGGACAAATTAAGTTGCAAAAAAGAGATGACTGAGTCTCTGATATCCACTGTAGCCTTGTTATTACATCCCTATCATCCCTATCTCTTCGGTTATCACCCGGCTATTTCACGGTAAAGCACGTATTCATGCTTAATGAGTTGATCTATTATGTAGTCATAGGAATCACCGAGTAGATACCTTCTTCATGGCTCCCCTTACGGAGTACATTTCAGTCGTGTCAACTTATGATGCCAAGTTATAAATTGGGGTATTACTACATCTTTAAAAATATCTACTGAGCAAACAACTTGGTATACATATGCACCTGCAGCGCTAGAAGCTCAAGCTCGCTCGGAATATACAGCCAAAGGATCCACTACCCCTCAATCATACATTTACAAATCAATCTTGAATTCCTCCACAGTTTGATTAGCCAATACCATGGTGGTTGAATCAAGTCCATTTTCTCGGTACTTTGCCATAGCTTGTTTATACTACACACATAATAGTTAGCTATCACTTTCCATTTGATGCTCTGTTACGGAAGCTTACCTTGAAGAAGAAATTGAGCAATAAGGACACCATAAGGGCAGCGCTGACAATCATTGGTCCAATCAAATTATCAAAATCTTTTCCGCTTCTGTCAACAATCATCTGTCGCCGCGTGTAATGCATCCAGTAGCCCCAACTTCCAGCAAAGATGGCAATAATAATATATGCAATACCCATAGCTTCTGCAATTTCATCCTCTCCTGCAGCTGTGTATAAACTAACAGCAAGGGACCCCAATAATATGCATATGTGTTGCCATTTTAAAAATGTACGTTCATTGGCCAGCCAAACTTTAGGTTCGACTTGTAAAGGACCTGAATCCTTAATGTATTGAGTTGGTTTAGTAACACCAGGAGGCAATTGAAAACTCTTCGAACGGCGTGATTGGGCATAACGCGAGAGGGAGAAAGATGGAAATACAGATGCCAAGGTGCCATATCCACCTTGATTACTTGAGGCTCCAGTTTCGTCTTCGTCATTTCCAGCATCTCCAGAAGCAGAAGGACCATCCAGATTGGATCTTCTACCAGCTCTCTCCTCAGCAAGCATTCTCTCCTCCATATATGACTTGCCTACTGGCGAGCTCACGGCAGGTTTGAAACTTGCGCTTGCTTTTTGAGAGGTTCCAATGAAGCTACCGATTACGAGATCGTTCTCGGCCTGCTTTGCTTTTCGAGATTGATCTTCCTCCCACGCCGCTTGTGGATCTTTGCGAATATCATCCGTCAAGTTTCCGTGCCATGAAGGATAGTCGTTGACATTATCCTCGAAGAGAGATACAGCACCCTGAAGGAATTTAGAGAAGCCTGGCGCTGCGTACACAAGATGCGAGCCCATCAAATCCTGTACCCATTGAGGCTGCTTCTTGGTTGCATCATCCTTAACTTTGATCTCCAATACCGAATATGGGAATCTCGATATCTCGCCTGGGTTGATGTTGCTGAATGGATATGACATGGCACTACTATCAATGTCGCGTCGGTGCCAGCTCTTAGGATCTCTGCAAGGTCTGTCCTCGTCTATACAATCTTCCCGGATGAATGCCAATTGAGTATCAATAGATATCCTGACTCTGTCGTCCAATGGCTTTTGAAAGGCAGTGCGAGTGTAATTAGCTCGCAAGATTGGTTGCAAACCATTCTCCTTGATCAATGATTGAATATCGTTTACAGTCTTTTTAAAGGCCTCGATTCTTGTTTCTGGCAGCCCTTGTCGTTCCATCTTTTGTATGCTCTTCTCCATTTTGTATTCACCTTTGATAAAGGAGTCGATATACTTTTCCTTTATCAAAAGCTTCTTTTCTTCGCTGGTGCCATTTTCGTGTACAATCTTTTGTTCAAAGTGAAGCTCTGGATTGTCCTTCAATTGACCATACCATCTGATCCTTAGTGATGTAGCATTCTCCTTCTTTTCCCTCTTTTGGTCGTAGAGCGTGAAATCCGGACTGTCAAGATAGAGAGAATTGAGAGTCGGGTCGGCTTGAGGTTCGGGGCTTTTCGAGGATGGTTCGCTATATACTACAGCAGGAAGTCGACGAAGGATATAGGTCTTGACTTCCAGAAGATTATCAGGGTGAACCCAAACTACAAGAAGGTTTATTAGTATACGGCTTCGTGTGATGATCTAACCAACTTACATTTGTACGCAGTATACTTCTCCGGTGTTTGTGATTGCGACTGAACATCGGAGGACGAAGTTACAGCAGGATCCGTATTATCATCCAGTTGTTGGCGAACAACAAAGTACATCATCGACAATTGGTTGAGCAATGCTGAATAGCCCTTTTCCGAGTTAAAAGGCCTCTTCTGCAAACTCATCTGTACCATCGGCCTAATCTTGTAGTTGTTACCCCTCTTGCGATCATGTTTCTTGACAATCTTCAAGAAGGCAGTATAATTAATGCTGCTGTATTTCTTCAATTCCTTTGTATCATTGATGATCGCATCAAGCTCCTCCTCGATCTTCTTGAACTTGGCGGTAAAAACTTCGTCTTTTGATTTTCCATCTTCTGGTGCGAGCTCTTTGAGTTTCTCTCCAGCCGCATTAGCACGCTGTTCCAGTTTTTTGAATGTAGATTCTTGAAAGGATGCGATCTTTTCCAATTGGACGTTCAGGATCTCCTCGCAGAATTTAGTCTCGTCATCTGCAGTCCATGGCCTGTCGTCACCCTCAGATGCTGAATCTTCTCGTAAGAGGTGTTTGAGCTTCGCATAATCGATATATTGGTCTTTCCATGGCGGATATATTGATTTCTTCAATGTCTGGCCAAAACGCATAGTGACGGTGAATTGAATTTATTGTATTTTGTGTTGTTGGTTGAATGAAAAGTAAGAGTGGAATTGGAAGTTGGAAAGATTTATTTGTGCTGAAGCTTGTGAAAGCTGTAAGGAGGTTGGAGCTTAATGAAACCTTATTCCGTGACGAAATCAAATGTTAATCAATGCTAAAAACGTTTTGAAAATGATGATAAGATGAAATTCAGATGAATTGATATATCAGTCAATATAAACTCTGTCACTCAAGAAAAAACAAAGATTAAATTGAATCACAGCATTATATAGAGTACAAATAAGAAAAGTGTTGGAAGTCTCATCAATAACTTTTTTCGAGTTTCTCTGCCAGGTACCTACTAGGTAGGTAGGTATATAGTTTGTGTAAATTGTGAATCTAGCTCTACATGGATGAAATGAATTTTATATCAAAATAGATTCATAAACATTCAAACATCAAATCCAAACCAAATCACCAAAAGACTCTAAATCTCCCATTCGAAATCGAACATTCAAAGCATTCAAATATCAAATCACGCACTAGAACATTCAAAACCCCTAATCATCCAACCCATATCAGAACATTCAAAGTATTCCCATCTCGAATCTTGCCCAGGTGAACCAGGAAATCCAAATTAGCACATGTCCAAATCATAGGTACCTACTTATCTACCAACCTACCACGTGCCTACCAACCAACCTAGGTACCCTACATATATATATCAACAGGGAGTCTACGATACCTACATAAAGTTACTTCGTACAATAAAGCTTTCATCCATCCATCCATCGATTAATTACCTACCTCCCGAGTCCCTACCTAGTAAATGCCATACAACTAACAACACAACCCACCCACCCACGTGCATCCAACGACTGATTTGATTGCACCGGCTCGTCTTCCACTTTCACTACAAATTTAATCCATGTACATAGTTATAGTGGACATCCATACCGAGAGAGTACTTTCTTTGTACATATCGTACAGGCATAGGTAATGCATTGTATCATCGGAACTGGGATATCGATGGATTTATCCACTGGTTGTCTTCCGGTTGGTCGGTTAATTTGTCTATGGAAAAGAAACAATTTTTGACTCTACCAATAACAATGTAAGATCTTGCCAATTGATCAGATGCTACGATGGGATACCTACACAGTGATCGCATGAGATAGGTTTCAAATGGCTAATCTAAGCCTCACACTAAAATGTATTTACAAATATATTGGAATATCTATGTGTACATGTCTACTCAAAATGCCATGTCGCCAATCATAATGCGATATCGATTTGTATTTGATATAAACTTTGAATTTCTCTCTTTGCTGACTCTTCTCGCTCACTCGCAAATACATCATTTGGGTACAAATAATAGTAAATGAAAGGCAATTCAAACCATTTCAACTCCCTCCCTCGCACGCGTCAATCGTCATCATCAACTGTCCAAAAAAGTATTCGCACTCGCTGGTATCGTAAAAAGCATAACCACCATGAAGCCATATTGCACAATTGATGAACCACCGCCTGTCTCTCCTTTTTCCTTCCATGAACAATGCATATAAAGTAATCCGACCATTGTTTTTGAATCCCGATTCGTGTCGTTATTCATTTCGTTCTCCCAGTAATGCCAGAAATATGCTTTTGATATGTTCATTCTAGAAAATGTAAATATTCATACCGCTACATTGCAGGCGTCGTTGGAAATATGTTGAATGTGAGTAATTTGTATGTGGGTGTGTCGTGCTTTATGTTGCAGCTGCGGCGACTTGGATAGGAGCACGCTCAGCACGTCCTAAGATCTCGCGATGAGGTCCACGGGCTAGGATTTCGGATGCATTGCTCTTAACAATTCCACCAGTGACAGGCAAAGAGGTAGATCCCTCCAAGAAGCGATCACACTCTCTAGCACATTGTCTACCTTCGTTGATACCCCTAAATTTTGTTAGAAAAATATATCAAGATAAGATTGCAATCTGTAATTTATGACTTACCAAACAATGAGAGATTGTCCACGGCGACAATCTCCTGCAGCGAAGATTCCCTCAACATTTGTAGAGTACTTGCCAGGAGCAGTCTTAACATTCTTGCGGCCATCCTTCTCAATGTCATCGCCGAGAACACGATCCTCGGGACCGAGGAAACCCATAGACAAAAGAACAAGATCAGCTGGGAAGAACTGTTGGGATCCTTCGATCTTCTTCATGTCCCAACCACCAGTGGAAGACTTGGTCCATTCGACACGAACAGTGTTGATACCTTTGACCTTTCCAGTTCCATCATCAACAAACTCTTCAGACATGACACAGTATTCACGAGGATCTTTGCCCATGTGCTGCTTGACCTCAGTGTGACCATAGTCTACACGGTAGACACGTGGCCATTGAGGCCATGGGTTATCACGGGCACGTTGATTTGGTGGTTGAGGTAAAAGTTCAAAGTTTGTGACTGACTTGGCACCGTGTCGGACGGAAGTACCAATGCAATCGTTTCCGGTATCACCACCACCAATGACAACGACATGCTTGCCCTTAGCGGAGATGTACTCGTCATCAGCCAGCTCTGAGTCAAGTAGAGACTTGGTGTTGCGGTGCAAGAATTGCATGGCGAAATGAATACCCTCAAGGCTTCTGTTCTTGATTGGAAGATCACGAGCAACAGTAGCTCCAGTAGCGATAACTACCGCGTCATTTTCGGCCTTGAGATCCATAAGTTGAACATCTTGACCAACTGCGACGTTAGTCTTGAATGTGATTCCCTCAGCAGCCATGAAATCTGTACGACGCTTGACAATCTTCTTGTCAAGCTTCATGTTAGGGATACCATACATGAGCAGACCTCCAGCACGGTCAGCACGTTCATAGACAGTGACTTTGTGGCCAGCTTTGTTGAGTTGATCAGCGCAAGCAAGACCAGCTGGTCCAGAACCAATGATGGCAACGGTCTTGCCAGTGCGGACCTTGGGTTCCTGTGGAATCATCCATCCCATATCGAATCCACGATCAATGATGGCACATTCAATTGATTTGATTCCAACAGGATCTTCATTGATACCAAGCACGCATGCACCTTCGCAAGGAGCAGGGCAGACACGACCGGTAAACTCCGGAAAATTGTTGGTAAGCAAAAGTCTATTAAGTGCATCTCGCCATTGATTTTCTAGAAAAAAGTTGAATATTAGATTTGAGGTCTCAAAGAGGGGGGAGAAGGCGGGCGGGGCGGAAAATGGGAGGGGTAACGAAAAGGAAAGGGGCGACAGAAAGGAGAAGGGACGACGGAAAAGGGAAGGGACGACGGAAAAGGGAAGGGAAGACGGAAAGAGGAAGAGAAGACGGAAATGGGGGAGGGGTAGAGAACGTACGGAATACCAACTCATTCCATTTAGGAATGATATTGGAGATTGGGCAACCTGAATCAGATTGACAGAACGGAACACCACAGTCCATGCAACGAGCAGCTTGATATTTGAGCTCATCTTCATCGAGACGCTTGGAAAGCTCAGCCCAGTCACGAGTTCTTGTCTTGGCTGAGCGATATTTCTCGGATCTACGTTGATACTTCATGAAACCCTTGGTTTTGTCCAAAACCAAAGATCTCTTCTTTTCAACGGCAGAATCACCAATAGTCTCTTCGATATCCTGGAGATCAGATGGCTTCTTGTTCTCCTTTTGGTTCTTCTCATGTTGTTCACGAACTGGGTTTCCTGGGAGGAATGGCAAGGCAAATCTTGCCTTCTTGGCAGCAGCAGCCTTGGCAGCTTCTTCCTGGAGGACACGCTTGTAATCAACAGGCAAAACCTTGACGAAGCGACGTAGTGCTCTGTTGAAGTCAAGGAGAATGCGGGCAGCAAGCTCCGAGCCAGTGTAGTGATGGTGATCTTCAATCAAGCTTCGGACGAATGCAATTTCAGCTGGATCATCAATACCTGAAGCTTCAACCATCTCCGTGTTCAGCTTGGACATGAAATCTTGTTGGATATCGAGAATGTATGCAATACCACCGGACATACCGGCAGCAAAGTTGCGTCCAGTAGATCCCAAGATAAGAACACGACCACCAGTCATGTACTCGCAACCGTGGTCACCGACACCCTCTACAACTGCTGTGGCTCCCGAGTTTCGGACAGCGAATCTCTCAGCGGCAACACCACGGAAGAATACAGTTCCGCTAGTGGCACCATAAAGGCAGACGTTACCGACAATAACGTTCTCTTCGGCCTTGAAGACGGCAGAACGGGGTGGATAAACAATCAAACGACCACCCGAAAGACCCTTTCCTACGTAATCGTTTGCGTCACCTTCAAGCTCTAGGGTAACACCAGGAGCAAGGAAAGCACCGAAGGATTGACCGGCGGATCCCTTGATATTGACGTGGACGGTATCCATGGGCAATCCATCCTCACCATATCTCTTCGAGATTTGGTATGACAGAGAAGTACCCATAGCACGGTCAGTGTTGACAATGTCACACTCAATGCGTGAAGGAAGACCCTTATCAAGAGTCAACTCAGCTTCAGAGATCAACTTGTTGTCAAGGCGGACGTAAAGTCGGTGATCTTGTTTGCGGACGTTGAAGGTAGCAACTCCAGGTCTGAGCTTGTGAGCAGGAGTAAGGATGAGAGATAGATCGATGTTGCTAGTCTTCTTGGTGCGGAGATCATCTCGTACTCTTAGACATTCAGCATGTCCGACCATCTCATTGATTGTTCTGAAACCAAGCTTGGCCATGATGGCTCTCAGTTCGTTCGCAATGTAGTAAAAGAAGTTTATAACATGCTCTGGAGTACCTTGGAACTTCTTTCTAAGTTCCGGATCTTGAGTGGCTATACCAACAGGGCAAGTATTCCTAAATAGTAATTAGCAAATGTTCAAGCAATAAAGAATGTTATTAGGTTTTCATACAAGTGACATTTTCTCATCATAATACAACCCATGGCAATAAGAGGGGTAGTAGCAAAGCCCCATTCTTCTGCACCAAGCAGACATGCAATTGCAACATCACGACCAGTTCGAAGTTGGCCATCAGTCTGAACAACAACACGACCACGGAGATCGTTCAAGACTAAAGTTTGATGAGTCTCGGCAAGACCAAGCTCCCATGGCAAGCCGGCATACTTGATACCAGTCCATCGAGAAGCACCAGTTCCACCATCGTGACCAGAAATCAAGATGTGGTCAGCCTTCGCCTTGGCAACACCAGAAGCGACGATACCAACACCAGTTTCAGACACAAGTTTGACAGATACTCGGGAGCGAGGATTGGCACACTTGAGATCGTAGATCAATTGTTTCAGATCTTCGATGGAGTAAATATCGTGATGAGGAGGTGGCGAGATAAGACCGACACCAGGAGTAGAATGACGAGTTCTTGCGATGGACTGTGACACTTTGTGACCAGGAAGCTCACCACCCTCTCCGGGCTTAGCACCTTGAGCCATCTTAATTTGAAGCTCATCTGAGTCAGCAAGATAGTTAGAAGTAACACCGAATCTTCCAGATGCAACTTGTTTGATAGCTGATCTCATGGTATCACCATTTGACATGACCTCGGAACGTTCTGGGTCTTCACCACCCTCACCTGTGTTGGATTTACCACCGAGACGGTTCATCGCAACGGCAAGAGTGGAATGCGATTCCATGGAAATGGAACCGTAGGACATAGCACCAGTACAGAATCTCCTAACAATCTCCGTCCATGGCTCGACTTGGTCAATTGGGACTGGATTGCTCTCCTCAAAGTTGAAATCGAGGAGACCTCGTAATGTACAAGATTTGATCTGTTCGTACTCGGAAAGTGAGTAAGCCTCATAAGACTTATCGTTCTTGGTTCTAACGGCATCTTGAATGTTGGCAATAGAGGTAGGGTCATTGATATGAGGTTCACCACCATCACGCCAATGATACTCGCCAGATTCAACAAGACCTGGGATGGTCACAGTGTATCTCGATGGGAAACCCTTCTCGTGGAATCTGAAAGCATCTTCGGCAATTTGTTCAAAAGTAATACCCTTAATTCTTGTAGCAGTACCCTTGAAGCAACGATCGACCACAGAATCATCAATACCAAGAGCTTCAAAGATTTGAGCACCTTTGTAACTAGCGAGTGTAGAAATACCCATCTTACTCATGACCTTCAGGATACCACCATCGGCAGAATACTTGTAGTTGCGAATGAGTTGGTCATCACTGAGCTTCTTCCTGATGAGACCTTCACGGTTAAGCTTGATGATACATTCCATTGCAAGGTATGGGTTGACGGCGTCTACACCGTATCCGACAAGCACGCACATATGGTGAACCTCACGAGCTTCAGCGGTTTCGACAACTAAAGCGACATGAGATCTCCATTTGTTGTTAACGAGATGGTGATGAACCATTCCGGAAGCGAGAAGAGTTGAAACTGAGACTCGGTCGGCGGATGTAGCACGATCGGAAAGAATGATGATTGAATCCTTGTTATCGATGGCAGCAGTTGCTTCGTCACAGATGTAATCCAAATGTTTAAGATATCCTTCAACACCTTCGGATCTTGGGAATGTCAAGTCAATAACTTTGGAAGTCCATTTTGGATAGAACTTGTTGATATTCTTGAGGGCATTGAACTCAGGGATAGAGAGAATAGGCGTTGGAAGTAACAATCTACCGCACTGTGATGACTCCATGCCTAACAAGTTTCCTTGAGGGCCAACGTAACAATCGAGCGACATGACAATGGCTTCTCTAATGGGATCGATAGGGGGATTGGTGACTTGGGCAAAAAGTTGACGGAAGTATTCGTACAGTAGACGAGGAGCATCGGCAAGACATGCGAGAGGTGCATCGTTACCCATGGAGCCAAGGGCCTCCTTTTCGTCAGAAGCCATTGGTGCAAGGACCAAAGAAACCTGCTCAAAGGTGTACCCAAAAGCTTTCAGAAGGGCATCCTCCTGAATGGTACTAGCATCAGGCTTTGGTTCCAAGTCAACGGTACCTTGAGTTATCAATTTTTCGTGAACTTTAGGTAAGCTGACAAGCTCCTTGTGAAGCCAAGATCGGAAATCATGACGTTTAGCCACAGTGTTCTTCAGTTCTGCATCATCGATGATGCGCCCCGCGACGGTGTCGACGAGAAGCATCTTTCCTGGTTGCAAACGACCCTTGAGGACAACACGTTCTGGGTCCACTTGGATAGTACCGACTTCAGAAGCGCAAATGATTCTGTCATCATCCATGACATAATATCTACATGGTCGGAGACCGTTTCTGTCGAGATTTGCACCGCAGTATCTACCATCGGCGAATGTGAAAAGTGCAGGTCCATCCCAAGGTTCCATTTGACAAGCTGCCCACTCGTAGAAAGCCGCCTTCGCTGGGTCCATGGCGGCATTGTCCTGCCATGCTTCTGGAACCATCAGCATAACAGCTTCAGGTAGAGAAAGAACTCCATTGATAGTGAGTAACTCAAGCACGTTATCGAATGCAGCTGAGTCAGAGCCTCCATCTTCGACGATCGGGTACAGCGATTCAAGTTCTTCACCAAAAACGTCGGATTGCATTACACCTTCTCGGGCACGCATCCAGTTCTTGTTTCCGCGAAGGGTGTTAATTTCACCTGTGTCTACAGTTAGTATCAAGAGTAATTCGAGCAATTTACTTGTGCCATACCATTGTGAGCTGCCCATCGTAATGGTTGAGCACGATCCCATGAGGGGAAAGTATTTGTAGAAAAACGTGAATGCACAAGAGCAAAATGGGCTTCGTAATCAGCGTTCACCAGATCATAGAAATACTGATAAACCTGTATAGGGGCGAGTTGACCCTTGTAAACAATGTTCTTGTTAGAAAGGGAACACAAGTAGAACCAATTGTGTAAACCAATTGTATGGGTTGCACGCTTTCGGAGTACATAGAGTTGTCTTTCGAAAAGTTTCTCATCAAATTGCTCAGGGTCGGTAATTTCCGGTGAGTTTCCTGGGCCATATGCAGATGCTAGCACTACGAAGGGCTGCAATATGATAGGCTCACGAGATGCAGCAGCGGGACCAAGGAGAGTAGAATCTTTAGGAGGTTCTCGCCAGCCTAGTACTCTTAATCCTAGAGATTCAGAGATCTCTTCCAATTGTTTCTTTGATTCTTGTAGAGTTTCCTCGTCTGGCTTGAAGAAGAGATTTCCCACAGCATATTGACCTAACGGTGGAAGCTTGATATCTGTCTCGCGCTCGAAATTTTTGATAAAGAATTTGTGAGGAATAGATGTCATAACACCAGCACCATCTCCATCTCTCGCATCTGAACCCACAGCACCTCGATGGGTCATATTACAAAGAAGGTTTCGTGCTGGAAGTAACAAGGTTAGCAAATGTGTACTACGAGTGAAATACAAGAGGCCTACCATCGCTGACGATTTTGTGGCTGGGTTTGCCTTTAATGTTACTATGTTGAGGTTAGATGTGTTCTCCGAGATGCAAATTCACAGTTCTCACCAAGCAAAACCAACACCGCAAGCATCCTTCTCCAAGCTAGGATCATATAAACCCCTGTTTTATGATTAGTGAAGCTCAACAAGAGGTTGTACCAGACAGCGGTACTCACTGCTTCACTGGGAGTGCTCCAGCCCATGAATCATTTCCTTCAGCCTCATATTGATATTGATTGTAAGGCTCGTTCCTCGCATCAATCTCAGTTTGTCTGTCGTTAAAATCTTCCGCCCTTCCAATGCCCATCGTAGGCAAGGCAGCCGGCGATTGTAGGATCGATTTTGTTTTGATGTTGAGAGCGCAGCTCTTTATTCTTTATTGGGTTGAGGTATGGAGTGTAAAGAGGGTGTTGAGTTCGTGCAAATAATGTTTTCTGATATCTCGAAGAGGAAATTAGCTCAAAATATGAAAGATTTTTGGTTGTCAAACAAAGAACTTTTCTTTTCTCAGCAAGATTTATGGACGATTGTGCGGAGTCAATTTTTGTGTGAAGTCCAAGACTTGATTGACTTAGCGCGCAGAAGATGTGTAGTATGTAGGTAACTTTCTCCTTGCGGTATGAAAATCGACTGATTGATCTGGCCTGGTAAAACTCAAGAATTGTATGCTCTTGGTAGAAGATCTTTTCATATGTGTAAATAGTTGAAGTTTGTGGATCGAATCAATTGCCACCTCCAGTTTATTTTGGTAATAATTGAAGTATTACTGGCTGTGTGAAATTTGTATGGACGTGATAATAGTGGGCGGCGTTCCAGATAAGACGAGGGGCGAGGGGTATGAAAAAGAAAATCCACGTACCAAAAAAGCGATTGCTTCAAAAGGTTTGAATATTTTGCCACGACAACAACTGCACGACGACTGAAGTAGGTAGAGAGATGCACTTTGGGGTATTTGATCTGACAAAGAGTAGGATCCAGCACAGTTCAAGAGGGAGGCAGGCTTTTATGAGGAAGATGATCTCCAGACAGAGGTGGAGAATGAATATCCAGCGCGAATCGGAGCAGGCCGTCCAAGATTGTCCAAAATTGTCCAATAAATTGTTTGATACTAGGGACGCGGCTGCTGATTCATCGATTAGGTATAATTTGAATTTGAATTTGTTGGATCTTATTCACTTTATTGCACTTACGAGCATTACTTCGCACACTTGTTATAGGTAAGACTTGTTAGACTTATTAGACTATTACACTTATGACACCTATGACACCTATTGCCGGTACATCTATTACACTTTTTCCCGCACGTATTAGAGAAACCTACCTAGGACCTACGGAAAGGTAAAAAGGTATCTAGTATGGTATGTGCCACTCGGGAAAGTCTTCTCTACAAGACTTTCCACTACCTACCTAGTACCTACCTACCTAGGTACGGGAACTATTCGTTGTAGATATATCTCCCGGTGATGGTAGTAAGAGTAAATCAAGACCATCAAGACCATCGGGACCTAGTAGATACCTAGTACCTACAAACAGGTATTTTCAATCTTCCTACAACTTCTGATTTCACTACCTACCTACCTCAAGTATTTATATGTTCCATTCAAAAGATACCTACACAAGTGTCAAGAAGAGAGTCTACAATCCAATTCCTCGTATGTGCTTCGTAGTACAGGATCTCATAGATGGCTGTCAAAATCATATAAAAAATATCGAGTGGGTTGAGCTCTTTAGACCCATGCTGACCATTTCTCCCACTCCTATGGATTGAACAACCGATACGTTTCTTTCCCCCACACTTGGATGCATCGACCAGGGCAAGGATCTTTGCATGGTGTGAATTGGCCAGTTCTCTAATCGACCAATGAAATATCTCACCGAGAACAACTTCATGGAGCTCGACTCTCAATATAACTCAAGATCTCTGCCGATGTCGCTCCAGTGAAGTATGGTCAATATAGAGGAAGATTTTATGGGTAACATTCCCTACGTTGGACAGATGATTGGGTCAATGCCAGCATCCGGAGATACTCTAACATGTTTAGAAGAAAGTAGCCATGCCAGCCAGGCCAGGATAGGCCTACGATGAACCTCATTCAACGTGAGATGTGGGATCAGATTGGGAACGACTTGGAGGTGATGATATCGATCTGTGAATTGATTCCCATTGGCAGCGGCGGCAAGGATCCCCGCGATGCAAAAAAAAAATTACACACAGGAACATGAACATCTAGAGGTCCGACCAATTACGAGCTTCAGATAGGCAGATTACCATTGAGATTGATTGAGTGAGGGGTATGTCCCCCAGCCCCTGTTCACACAGCCATGAAGGAAATATCCCACCTTCCAGTGCATGCAGCATTGCAGAGTGGTAGTCTGGCAGACAAGCAAATCTGACGTTTTTCTTCATGCGAGTTGCTTGTGACATGTGTAACTCTCGTCGAAAAAGACAACAGGCCACGAAAGAGAATTCCCCGGATCCGACCGATGCATGCAGCACGAGGTCTTGGGTTGGCAGAAAAAGTATCAAATTCATTTCATACCATACGAGAAATTTCCTCCTCCGATCACACCAATCGAGAAGATGGCGGTCAATCAGATTATGGAGACTTGGTAGGTCCCTAGGTAGTTGTTTGTCACAACAATAATGCTGCAATGCGTCTTGCTTTAAATGTCGGGTGAGATCGGGGACTGGAGACGAGGCTAGAATATGACATGACATTCATTTAATGATTCAGCATTGTTTTATGTATAACGACCAGGGGCTTGTAAAATAGAACAGCAAGATCACAGCAACTCGTACCGACACCTTTTTAAGGTGACTTGAGGTGACTTGAGATGGCCTGCTGTTCTATCGTACACAGATCTAAATTCTAGACTTGGTACACTTTGAGAAGATGGTTAGTTCCAACAGGTGGGAATCAGAAGCAGAATCATACTTTGTACCTACTACTTTAGGAAACTACGGGGAAACGAGCCGAGATAGAAGGGAGGTATCTACACAGGAGGCATATGACATTTGATCAGATTTATGGCTGTATCAACCAACCTTGATGAAAGTAATACCTACTACAGTAGGTATTCATCATTTCTGTGAATATGGGAGAGGAGAAGAACCTTGACGAATCCTAACCGAACATGGACCATGTGCATGGTTGGGAAATATTTTAATTCTGCCGTACCTATTTCACCGCCAAAACGAGGCTGCATTGCCCGCAACCATTCCGCAAGGCTGAGTTAATTAGTCTCGGGTCAAGGCTCAAAGGAAAGAGGCAGGCTATCGAGTTTGGTACAACAATTCTGGAATTCCTCCATGAGCACTACCATTTCAGCATCATAGTACAGCGTACCAACAACATATAACCCCTTTATCATTGCCGTGTTCCCCAAGTACAAAATCAGTACAATCATGTTTTCCCTTCCAAATCTTGCCCCGACAGACGTGCGTACACAGTCCATGAGCTTTGTTTACCTGAATGTCATGACTAACTCCTACATCACAGTCCTACAATCTCTGGTACACATCATCTCATAGCAACATTCCCCAGCACACAGAACCCACAAACAATGCATTTGATCATACCGCTCCCCATATCGCATCAAACCAAAACCACGGCTCACGTCGTCAACAAGCCAGCAATAGAACACCCCTAGCACGACTACGCTTAGATGAAGAATATATCGAGAGGAGAAAACAAAATGTGCAAAACTGGGGAAGTTCCTGGATCAAGCCTCCTGGAGTAGCAAAATCATTGCATCAGTTGAGAGAAGAGAAGAGAGAAATGGAAGAACATCAAGAAGCAATGAGACGAGAACAATTGGCACAAGAACTTGCCGAAGCGGAACAGGCGGAGGCGGAGGCAATGATACCGGCTGAGGATCTTGAGGGTGAGATGGACGGCATGGTGGATCTTGATGATGAGATTCCCGATGCGGATGAGACGGGGATGGGACCTAGTGATTCATCCGATGCCAGCGAAGACGATGAAGAAGATGAAGAAAACGATCTCGAGGATGTTCCCCGAGCACTCGCAGCTTCTCGCATGACGGATGAAGCGTACAGAGATGCGATAACACGTCTCGGAGCTCCCAGAGGTTCAATGCTCGAAGACGATGGCGCTTCGACCATTGCTGAGGAAGAGCAATCGCAAATGCTACAGGAGGAAGATCTGGTACATGAGCATGAAGAAGATAATCAAGATGAGGATATGGAAGTTGATCTTGATGATGATATTCCTGATGCCGACGAAGGATATGAACATACGGATACAGAAGATGAAATTGATAGCAGTGAGGAGGAAAGCGAGGCGGAAAGTCTTCCTGCTGGAAATCACGGAGGTCATGGTGCGAGTTTGGTTAGGAGTGATGGTACTCAAAACTCGATGGATCTTTCGAATCTTATATCGCACGATAGTAGTGTGTTATATAGTAGTCCTCGAGGAGCAAGATGATATGATACATGATTCATTCGTGGATATCCATAGTCACAATTCTTGGAAGAAAAGAAAGACACAACGTCGAGGGCTGACACGCAATACCCTTCGTAGAGTTTGGGGGGATGCTCACGTACAAAGTACATGATTATTGCAATCAGCATAATTGTCTCTGTTCAGCAATCTAATACCACCAATGGTAGACACAACACTCTATCCAACAAAGCAGTCTATCACGTCCTAAATCAACCCCAGGACATAAAACACGCGTATAGGACAACACCCAAAACAACTCCAATTCATGGGAAGAGATAAAAAGGTTTCCAATAACTACGACGTCATGGAATGGAGTATACATTTTTTTTTTAGATACCCCATTATAAATATTTTATGTTTTTCGTTCTGGGAGGGTTTCTCTGGTGATGTGATGTGATGTGATCGATCATGCTACTTTTACCTGGGTACCTACCGAGGTATAGGTAGGTATAGGTATTGGTAGTTAGTGAATCATGGTGATTATGATGATGTTGATTATGATGATGATGTTGATGATGATGATGATAATGATGATAATGATAATGATAATTTTTGTAGATGGGTAAGTGAGGAATTCGGTTTGTGAGCTTGAGCTTGAGCTTGAGCTTGAGCTTGAGATTGTTGGTTGTGTGTGGTGTGGTGTGGTGTTGGAAGTTGGTGATTAGTGGGAGTGGGAGTGGGAGTGGGAGTGGGAGTGAGGGTCTGGGTCTGGGTCTGGGTGGAATTTTGATGGGTGGGAGGTGGTGGAGGGGGGAGGGGGAGGGGGAGGGGTGAATTGGAGTCTGTGGGGAGGGAGGAAGAGGGGGATGGGGAGGGAGAGTGATTTCTTGGGAGGTGGATG